CGAATAACAAGCGAGGACCATCGACTCGGATCATCGGCTCTGAGGAAGACGAAGACGTCGAAACGTTAGCCGAAAATAAACATCATTATCAACCTCGTGTAAGCTCATCAGAGAAGGAATACAAATTGATTAGTGATACCGAGGTTCAAGGAAACTCGGTTTCGGAATATAAATGTATAAATTACTGTTCTTACTCAGAACAATCGAATTTAACACATCAGCAGCTGTCATGGAAGGTCAGAGCTAGCGAGCCAGTCTCTTATTTTAAATCCTAGACTAGCAGCGTTTGTAACTATAAGACAATCCGTGCATTCATTGTGTCGTAGTGTTAGCTTCTGATCGAAGTGAAGATTGAGACCCATATTCGTAGCGTCATTTACGAAAACGAATTGTAGTTGTAGTTAGTAACAGAATTTCCGAATATTTATTTCTTGCGGAAATTTTTCTTGTATTTTACTTTTGAAATTGTTAGGTAAAGTTGGAAACTATCACGTATTTACCGTCTAATCCGGAAGCATTCTTGTTAGAAATCGACTACTCAAGTGGAACTCCTATGCAGAGGTGAGCCGTTTTACTTTATTTTTTTAATTTGTCGTTTTATGATTTTGATCTCATGACAAAGTAATTTATGGTAAATATTTTTGTTCTAATTTATTTTAGTGCAGCGAAGGCTCCGTTTTTGGCGCGATTCAAAGTGCGCCGTTGTGGTGTACAAGAATTGGAGCGGACCGGTTTAGAAGTGAGGAAATGGTTTTCGTAGTGTGTGCCTCCTTTATTTGCTTTTTGCCTTAGTATTTTGGGCAGATTTCAGGCTCAGTCACATGAGAAAGACCACTTACTCCCTAGTTGGGCTGATTTGGCTGAACTACGAAAAATTAATGATAGCCTAACATGTTGGCAAGCTGCTATATTCAAGGCACGTCCGATACTTTGCCATATGTGGTTCTCATTGTTCTTTTTCCTTAGTCAACTGTTATTATTTTTATAAACGTTTTTAGGTTGGGGACGACGTTAGGCAAGACATGTTGGCTCTTCAGCTTATGCAGTTAATGCGGAATATTTGGGCTGATCTTGGTCTTCCAGTTTGCGTATTTCCGTATAGGTAGCGTTTAAATGTGTTTGCTACCAAGAGGAGGAATTAGTGTAATCATGAAAGTTAATCCAGTAGTTACACACCTAGGAAACTTGTCCATTCACATGTCAGGAGTTTTCTCTGTTTATTTTTAATTCTTATTTTAAAACTTATAAGTCTTTTTTCCTTCCTTACCGTAGGTGTTTTGAAAGACTGGTGGAACTTCTGCACGAAATGTACCATGTCTTTATTGTGTTCTGTGTGCAAGTTACGGTTTTTGTGCTTATATTTAGTTCTCGGCTTATGTTGCTGTATAGACTGGAGCTTATTTAAAGATCCGTCAGCATTTACTCGTTGAAAAGAGAAAGCAAAAGCCAGAAAAATCAAAGTTGCATTCAAAGTCCTAAATTTTCCGAGGACTTTTTATGCGCTGTAAGAAAATTAATGGCCGATTTTCAATGGAAGCGCTGAAATGCTGTAGTTGCGCTCGTACACAACTTTACTGGTGAACTAGAAGTCACTGGGATCTACACATTTTCTCCAACAAGAAAGAGGTTTGTTTATCTTGGTAGCAAAGTTTCCTGAAGCTCTGCAAACAGAGTTTTTTAAAGACAGTTTTTACTGCGGCTCCGTTGTCGAAAATCTTCTCTGTTAGCAGTTCTTGAAAAGCTTAAAAATAGCGGTTGTCGGTTAACGGATTGTTCGATTAGTGTACTAGTCGGGGAAGGGTTTCGTAGTCCAACTTATTATATTTTTGTATCTTTAGAAAATACTTGGGGACTTCATTATGATCTGATCGTTGGACTTTGACTAGCGTCAGTTTCGTACAAGAAGCTGTTTTCATCGTCCTATCGAAAAATGGGTCGTCTTTGTTTTATAATAGAACGTAGACCTCTCAACTGTTTACCGCCTCATCGTAGCTGGGAGGTGTTCCTGGGTGTCGGGCTACGATGTACAGCGGGGGGATTCATCGTTTTGTCAAGGTCTCCCAAGCTGAGAGGGAGTTTGGCGTTTCCATCAAGAAGCTTAGCTAAGAGTAAACCAATACCAGTATCCACCACCGTCCTGGTATCAAAGTCGCATGGTGGCAAATCTTCCTCTGATCCACAAGGGCTGCAACTGCCTGTGGTGGTGAAGACCTTGGAGCAGACTTTGAGTAAGCTGACCTCGGGTCTACAAGGAACCACAATGACTTGACCAGAAAATCTCCGAAAAATGGAGATTATGCTGAGGCCCGCACAACCAGTGAGTACGGACCATTCAAGTATCAAGGTAGTTCCCAGGATCGACTTTCTCTTAACATCGGCATTGGAATATGAATGTGTCGTTTTTTTGTTCAGCAATCGCGAGGTTTTTAAACAGCATACATTTACTTCCATAAAAACAAGGTAGTAATAGAACGTAGAACATACTTGGGGAGACAAAATAGTTGCTTTTCGTCCAATTTTTGTGACATACACTCATTGGGCCCTCACTTCTCAAACGTTTTCTGGGTTTGTTAAGCTGTGAATGTTTGCCTTTTGTACAAGTTGCTCGACCCAAGTAGTTTTTTAAGAGACAGCTTCGATTATCCCTTCCAGACGGCTGTCAATTCCTAATTCTTTCCTGAAAGTTTTCATTATGAGTGGTATTTCCAACAAGAAACTTTACGTTCGGAAGCGCTTTCATAGCCTGTGTTTTCAAGACATTTTGAGTTGCTTAGGCAGCATTCGGAGCAGGTTTGAATTCATGCAGCGAAATGCTATGACTTTTTGCTTCAAGAGCACCATACGGCAACCAGCTTCAAATCGTTGCAAACTTATTGTTGAAGAAAAAATTTAACGTTTAACGTTTTGTTTTCTGCCTTCTATAATTTTCATGGCAGGTTACTAAGCGAAATACAACCACAACGTTGCTGAGATATTTGCAAAACTCTGGACCGCAGGTGTCTATGGCGGGGAACGAACGCGCTATTATCCTTTCCGGGGAGTAACGCGTTCACCACCACACCATGCGGGTCCTTTGTTTCGTCTGTCTCTCAGCTATTTCTATCGATCTTTTTGCCACAGCAATCACCCGTCAGCGGGGTTGATCTGGGGAGCGCCAATGGGCATAGAACCCAGTTAAGCTATTACTGTAGTTGAAATCATAATGTTTAACGTTTTGTTTTCCGCCTTCTATAATTTTCATGGCAGGTTATTCTCCGGAAAGGATAATAGCGCGTTCGTTCCCCACCATAGACACCTGCGGTCCAGAGTTTTGCAAATATCTCAGCAACGTTGTGGTTGTATTTCGCTTAGTAACCTGCCATGAAAATTATAGAAGGCAGAAAACAAAACGTTGAACATTATGATTTCATTTTCTTCGTATTTTTGTTGAGCAAACGCGAGGTGTTACTATTCTTTGTTCACGATTAAGCTGACGTTTCGGCGGATTTCGCCTTCTTCAGAGCCTGGAAAGGTCAAGTTGATAGCAACTCACTCGGCCAGACGCCTCCATAACCAAACAAAGTAACTCCAAACCAAGATTTCAATCACTTTGAACACAGCTTTGCACACTCACCGCTTTCTATGAGGTTTCCACTAAGCATGTCACGTAGAGACCAACCGCACAGAAATCACGTGGAAGTATAATGTGCCCCTCACATCAGAAAAGCAGTTTTATATACTGCCCTACATCACGCGTGATAATGAGGCATTCTTCCCTGCGGTTCATTTTCGGATTTCTGGAATTAATCCAGAGTGCCTCGAGAGTTTTTCGCGCCTGTGTTCTTGATTCGCGTGCGAGGATCGTGACACANTTTTCTTCGTATTTTTGTTGAGCAAACGCGAGGTGTTACTATTCTTTGTTCACGATTAAGCTGACGTTTCGGCGGATTTCGCCTTCTTCAGAGCCTGGAAAGGTCAAGTTGATAGCAACTCACTCGGCCAGACGCCTCCATAACCAAACAAAGTAACTCCAAACCAAGATTTCAATCACTTTGAACACAGCTTTGCACACTCACCGCTTTCTATGAGGTTTCCACTAAGCATGTCACGTAGAGACCAACCGCACAGAAATCACGTGGAAGTATAATGTGCCCCTCACATCAGAAAAGCAGTTTTATATACTGCCCTACATCACGCGTGATAATGAGGCATTCTTCCCTGCGGTTCATTTTCGGATTTCTGGAATTAATCCAGAGTGCCTCGAGAGTTTTTCGCGCCTGTGTTCTTGATTCGCGTGCGAGGATCGTGACACATACTTCGAAGTCGTCCCCGTTATGTCTCTGGGTCCTATGCGTGCCTAGCGGGGTATTATGATTTCAACTACAGCCATAGCTTAACTGGGTTCTATGCCGATTTGCGCTCCCCAGATCAACCCCGCTGACGGGTGATTGCTGTGGCAAAAAGATCAATAAAAATAGCTGAGAAACAGGCGAAACAAAGGACCCGCATGGTGTGGTAGTGAACGCGTTACTCCCCGGAAAGGATAATAGCGCGTTCGTTCCCCGCCATAGACACCTGCGGTCCAGAGTTTTGCAAATATCTCAGCAATTTTGTGGTTATCTCAGCATCATTGAAGTTATATTTCGCAATGTATACCCTGCCGTTAAAAAGCGTAGGCAGTAAATAATAAGTTAAAATTAAGAGGATAACTGTTATTTGAAATGAAATCTGTGTACCTATAGCATCTAAACTGCAAAGTCCGCTGAACATATTAACTGATATAACCACACATTCTTCTCGGGTCTCTACACTATCTCGAAGAAGTGGAAGCCACTTATATGTCACAAAATTCGTTTGCAAATTTCATAACTGCAAAAACGGCCATGATTTTTTATACAAGTCTACGAATACTTCTCTCTTCTTACAATACGGATCATTTTGAAAGAGGAAGAGTTCGTACTTCTCTCTCTGCATATAGTGATGCAGCCTCATTCCAATACGTGATGCTCCGAAATGAGGCTGCTTCTAGATTTCGACGCATGTTATATGGGACATGGGTGGTGGCACTCCTTCATAAGTTGTTTTGATTGTCCTCCATAAATCAACTCATGGGTTTTCAACTCAACAATGAACTCATGGGTTCACATGGATTTTCTCGAAATCATGTAACACAGTTGTTAGAAGTGCCTTGCAATACAGCGACTGTTAGTATAATCCACCGCGCTGAGATCACCAAACTCTGTATCCCGACGGTTGGAAAATTGGATCAAGAAGGATAAAGGATTTTGATTTGATGCATCGATGAGCCACCTCCAGTCACTGCATTGACCAGATATGCATTCAGTCACCTTTACGATGCGTTATGAAATCCATTTCGTGACGCATCCATAGGAGATAATCAGCGTTGTGGAAAAATCCCAACTGCAGGGCGGCAAACCTTTCTCGGGTTTGGGAGGACCTATGAGTGCTTCTGAAAAAGATTACGGAGCGCTCTTAGGACTAGCATGGGATTCCCGCGAAAATTCGCCCGGCTAGCACACAATATTACAATGGAAAGAAGATAGCAAAACTGCAACTTCTAGTCGAATCCATGCACTCCAATAAAAGATGAAACAAATGAAGAAGTGTAAGGGTGGCCTGACATATATGTGGTATATGTATTTAAATAAATGAAAAATAGGTGCACGGGGTGAAGTAGGGACGTTGTTCTCCACCGCTTTTTCTTAACACATTAGTTCTTTTTCTTTTTTTTAGTAACCAATAAGTAATGCGTAGTAGTGGAACTTTTTTTCGCATTTTGGAAGTGATTTTTATAGCATTACACCTTCTTTTAGAGTTGTAGCGACATCTCCGGGCTGCGGTGTAATTGAATGTGTGCCAAATTCTAAAAGTCGAGACCAGCTCGGTAGACAGACTGATTTTGGTAGGCTTTTTATTTTTTATTTACATATTTCGCTTTCACATATTTTGTGGGTTTCAAATATTTTTTTCTTTTTCGTTCGATTCCGTGCTCCACATCTGCCATCTACTAGCGTCTTCGAATTTTCATGTCGATTCCCCTTCCAGTTGAGGATGTTGTCTTCTTAGTGAACACTTTTGAATGTTAGTCAAGTAGATGGTTTCTGAAATCGTGGAATACTCTCTTAGGCTTTTCAAGCTCTTCACTATAGAGACTAACCAGCTGGACTTTATGAATTATAGAGAGCTTCTCCCAGACAAGTAGAGTACCATTTTGTCGATCTCAGAGGGATGGGGAACTTCGTTAGCCTTTGGAAGGGTCGAACCAGTCTCCAAGCATGTGTGTGTAGCACTTCCAGCTAATGTGCTTCACGCGTCTCAAGCCTTTTTATGCCTGGTGAATATAGTTTTGTTATTTCGGATGTAGTTTCTTCGGCTTCCTTCTGCTTATTGTTCACACTTTTTATATCTCTTTTCAGTGTAATCATTATAGATGTCTAGTTAAAATTATAAGTATAGGAAAATTCCTGTGAGTGAGCTAGCAATTACAAAGGTTTCATTTTACAAACCTAACACAGCTTCAAATTGTTGAAGGGTTCGTCTTCACAAAGAATTATGCGAACCCCTGTTCATTTGGGCATTATGGGCACTGGTTAAGGATACTTTTCCTTTTCTCTGTGCCCCGAAAGTGCCGATGCTTTCACTCGTCGTTTGATTTTGAGTTTAATCACAAGCTACTAAGCTGTTGGACAACCATTTGGTGGTGCTTTCTTCCGTGCGGTATAGAATCTGTTTGGTAGAATCACCTTTCTAGATAGAGAGTTCACCACTAGTTTAATAAGATGATATTAGTATTACAGTTACTGTGATAATTGTTTTGATTGTTATAATATTTGATGCTTAAGGATTGTACGAATATTTCAAAACAACTTATGGAGACGAGAGCAGTGAAACCTTCCAGGTAGTTTTTACGCACATTTTTTTAGGTCTTCCTTCTTTCGGGTTTTTGCTAGTATTATTTGAAAATTTTGTTTAATTATAAGGAGGCCCGAAGGAATTTCGTTCGCAGCATGGCCGGCTATTCAGTATTTAGCTTCCTCTTGCAAATTAAGGACAGACATAATGGCAATATCATGATTGATCTGGATGGACACATTATTCATATTGGTTGGTTGAGTTCTCATTATGGTTGCACCTATAAATACTGCGAAGTTTTGTGGATTATCATAGCTGTTTCGCGCTAGTTGTCGTCATCGAATGGAACTACATTCCTGAGGGATTAACCTTTCGTCTAAACAGATAGTTATCACCTGTTTCTTATTCATAGATATTTCAGCAACATTGTGTTAGTGCTTCATATCATGCTCTGCAATGAAAAAAAGGGTAGTAAATGAAAGATTAACGTATTGTAGTTTCGACTATGATTCAGTTTAACCGGGTTCGGAACCAGCTTGGGTTCCCCAAGTCAATCCCGTTGATAGGTGACTGCTGATAGCAACGATAGAGCAACAATATGGCCGACTGAAAGGCAAAACAAAGGTCGCGATTTGTGCGGTGGAAAGCATTTGAGGCCTCGGTAAGGGTAATCGCGGGTTCGTAGCGCATCAGGTAAGGGTAATCGCGGGTTCGTAGCGCGTTCCGGGTTTTGCAAATGTCAGGAAAAGTTTCAAACATCAGATCGTTACTAAAATTTACCGTTTGTGTTTCGATCGCGGTTATTGCAGATTTTGGCTTTATGTTTGAGAGCAGCCCTGGCGGAAACCTTGGATTTGAACCGGATTTCAAGCTCAGTGAAGAGATGGTCGCTATTATGGGCGGCAAGATGGAAGCGGCTCCATTTCGACAGTTCGCTACTCTTTGTGTGCAAGCCTACTTAGCTGTTCGACCGTATCAAAAAGTATGCCAAATTAAGATTATTGTTCTTTCGAGGATTAACAGTAGGAGTTCCATTGTTTTTGTAGAGGGTGGTTGTTGAAGTGAAGAAAAAAATAATGAAAAAACTGGGATAAAAAGACGATCAGAAATCAGCGAGATAGTATTTGATCATTAATGTTATTAGTGGGATTGTCACTTAAAAAGATCTTTTATTGAATTCCGTTGTTCTCCAAGCTTCGTTATTGGACGAGTTCATCGTGGATAAAAAAAGACTCGGTGTTCTGTCTGCTGCCAGTTCAGCATAACCTCTTATCCTAGTTCATAATTCAGTTCTTCTTATTGAAATCAGCTGGATTAGGTTTAGCACACTACTCAGAATGAAAGATTCTAATTTTAGATTTCAGATATTTCTGTTTCATGTTCACTTATTCCTTGCAGACTCACATTGTGTTGTGTAAGTTGTGGGACTTGTTTTATTACAACCTTTTATAATTTGTTTACTTACAGGCTTTCGTTTCTCTAGTATCTTTGATGTTGGACACTGGTCTACCTTGCTTCCGCGGCAAAACAATTCAACAACTTCGAGCTCGTTTTGCGCCGGAAATGAACGAGCGAGATGCAGCGAGGTGAGAGGTGTATTTGCCAGTGGTCTCCGCCCGGTAGTGAAACCTTCCGGTCAGAATGTTTTACAGAGTTTGGAGGTATGTTTCATAATTTTGTTCCAGATACATGTATTCTGTCATCACGAATTGTTTCCTTAACATAAGGAGCAAAATGTATGATCAGCTGCAGTATATCCAGAATGAGATACCGTATTGATTTGGATAGAAATGAAGTTGTGGTTGCGCACTTGTTTTTCTGGTTTGGAATCATATGCTTTTTTTTGATTCTGGTGAACTTTTTAAAAATATTGATAGTCGTGGCACTTTTCAGCTCATAAGTACTTTGTATCTTGCAATTTTCCGAGCCTACTTGTCTATTTAAAAACCGACTTTCCTTTAACCTTGGTATCACTAATCAATATGTATTCTTTCTTCGATAGGCTTACACGAGGTTGGTAAATGCTTGTGTACATTCATAGTGTTGTTTTTTCCTTTTATATATTTATACTTAAAGCTATTTGCCATCGTGTTATCTCAATTTGAACGTATTCCAACGATTTTTGTATAATGTGGTGCTCAGAAAAGATGTAGTAATTTATGTTTAGCTAGTCGTAATCAGACATGTGGCTTACAGCATGATTCATGCACTGTAATAATGAAAGATCAATGAAACAGTAAAATGTTAGATTTTCCGACTTCTTTTAGCTGATGCAACAGGATACTGCGATGACGTTGTTTTTCTACTATCAAGTGCGCATCTCAGTTCTCATTAAAGGTTTTTGGTCGAAATGGAAACAAAATTTACACGTCTTATTAAGGAATTTGCAGATTCATTAGGGGCCAATGCTGTCAGGGAAATCTTCATTAGAGGGTCAATTTCAGGAACTTCCTAGCAGAGAGGGCGCGTGTGGCGCAGTGGTTGCCGGCGCCATCGCGACACATGTGGAATCGATCGCCACGCCCCATGGACCGCCAAGCCTTCTATCCCTCCAGGGTCGGCAAATTGGTACCAGACTTGTTCATGAGGATAGCAGCACTGGCTCGATACATCGGTAGGCCACCGCGAATCATTGTAAAGGCCAGATATGCATTCAATCACTTCCAACGATACTTGATGAAATCGAATGCATGGCGCATCCCTCAGGGATTGATGAAAGCCGTGAGCTTTATCCTGCTTTTTCTAGTAGAGAGATGCAGAAATGTTTGCATAAGTGGCAGTTGGTTGGCGAGAGTTTACCTAATATTCTAGAAGTTTCGTATAGTAATTACCTTGACTTTTGTAGTGTTTACTACAGCACAAATCATAAGATTATGCATTAGAACTGGGATCAGAATTAGTCCTGGAATGAGCAGTTGCTCTCGAGGTTATTGCAGCTCGTGATATTACGTTGTCGAATTCCACGTAACACGTTTGTGGTGCAGTAGTCTTGCTAGGATTTAGGAAGTGGATGAGTCTTTCTGCCAACTTCACCGCCTTTAATGCTTCCTACTTGCCAGACCATTATACTGCATATTGTTGGGTGTTGAACAGAATTCGTTTCTAATCGTGCGTCATGTCGAGGAAAGGAAATACTTCATTTTACAAAGAAGGAGCCGAACAGATGTCGGTATCGTTGTTTAATTCGTGCGGCACTGATTTGTTCATCCTCTTACATCGATTGACGGGGCCTGCAACCACTTTTTTCTTAAATTAAGCCTGGTTTTTCTGTAAAGACGATCCGATATGCGTAGATTTCCTTCAGTTAGCTATTAAAATGGTTGGCTTTGGTGGCGCTCCGTAGGAAATCTTGGAACCAACGTAGCAACAAATGGATCGTTGTCGATTTCCTTACCTTGTCGATCGTTGTGCTATATTGTAGTCCAAATATGTTTGAATCTAGATTAAAGCTTCTTAGACTTCTTTATTGCAGTGGCTTGGATTAAGCACAAGCTAAAGCAGTAGTCTAACCTCGATGTGCAGCTTTACGATTTCAGCAGCCTGCATGGGTGTTTATCTGATCACAAGAAAGAGAAATTTGGGAGAAGTGGATGCAGAGCTCATTCGATATTCAAGAGCAAAGAAACGAATATTCCTGAATGCACCGGTTTTTCATAGTTCGGCCAGAAGACGACATGACAAACGTCTTCTCTCATAAGGTTAACCAGGCGCAACCGAGCGACAGGAGGTTTTCAAGAGCATCAAGAATTTAGTGGAGAGGGTTTTAGAGTACACCTATCGATGACCTATGTAGTCCTCGTACTATTCCTCATTTCCAATCAAGACTTCTTACTTTCCAAAGAAATGAATTTTCTGCGACAGAATTTATGCTTCTCAATGGCTTTGCCTGTTATGGTGTTGGACGTTCAATAAGAAGTTTGTGGAGCAAATATCACTGCAAAGTGTTTCCTCTAATCAATCACTGAACGAGGATTACCTGTTGATGAATTAGTATAAATTAAGCAGCTGTAGACGTTGATAAATGCTAGTTGTTGGGGCTCTTTAAAAAGAAAGGTTGGAGATGGAAGATGGCATGGCGATATTGCATAAGTTATTATTTCACATCTTAGTATTTTTCCGAGGAATGCCGGCTTAATAACAGTTAAACGGGGAAGAAAATTTCGACAATAGTTTCACATTGGGTAACTAACTTGCTTGATACTTGAATGGCCCGTCCTCACAGTTTGTTCGGGCCCCAGCATAATCTCCACTTTTCGGAGATTTGCTAGTTAAGCCATTTTGGTTCCCTGGAATCCCGAGGTCAGCCTGGACAAAGTTTGCTCCAGGTGGTCACCACCACAGGCAGTCGCAGCCCCTGCGGATCGGAGGGAGATTTGCCACCATGCGACTTTGATACGAGGGTGGTGGTGGGTCCTTGGTCATGGCAAACATTGGGTAACCAAACTTCATAAAATCAATATACCACTACAGTACAGCACTTACAAAGCACAGGCCCTCCAATGTTTAGATCGTGATTGAGATATATTCATTGAATTCGAATGGTGATGTACAGCGAGTCATTAATCCTTCCAGCACGATCTCCTTAACTCAGAACTCATTCTGAGTCACATTGGGAAGCCCATTCAAAGTTAATGATTATCAAGAATCACTGACATTCTGGTAGGAAATCGCTTTGACAAACCTTTCCTCGATCCACAAGGGTGATGGCTGCCTGTGATAACGACCTCATAAGGCTGCAGATGGTGTACCTTGAAAACCCAGAAAGCAAGAATTCAGCCTAAATACCTCCGGTTTCCTGAGTCGCCCTCACATCAAATCCCATACGGTCGCCTTAAAGGAAGACAGAAGTAGTACAGTCGCTCGCTAAATGCCAGTTTTACGATGGGGTGCTAATAATTTGTGAGTAAAGAATTGCGCCACGAAATATCGGGTCGTAGGCTTTGTTGTACATCATTCTATTGCCTATCAAGTCGTCTCATTAGGGGTCCAACCACCTGTTTTCGCTATTTTTCGGCTTAGATCTCTGCCACAAAAGAAGTTAACCATCATAAACTACCAACCACTACCCTGTACCGCTAATAAGAGCGAATTATAAGCGTTTTATAATGAGTTGAGTAATCCACGATGAGAAGTCCTGCGAAATCATTTTCACGGACATCAGCGGTAGGTTACGAAACTCGACCGAAACAAATCAAGATATTTTGGATAGAAGAGCGAAACGAAAATAGAAACCGTCTTACTGGGCTTCTTTCCTACAATTCCTCTTTTGTAGAAATCCATTCTTCGAGTATGGAAATCGATCATATTTTTGTAGAAGAAGATGGTGTATGTTTGACACATCTGTGATGTCACCATTTTACTCGATTCGAAAACCTCTCACGCGCGAAAGTACTCTTTAGTCATAAGCTGAAGAAAAAAGACACCAATGATTGATCGAGAAAGAAAACAGAAGTTCATGCATATGAACAGAATATTCGGCACAACCTCATTTCCTCGCATTGCCGGCAGCTCAAAGGAGACTCGACTGAATGTTGCAAGTTGCTCCGCGAAAACTAAGAAGCAGTGACTAATATGCCTCAATATTATAAAAAAGACGTGACAGGTGGCCTCCACGTGACATACTCAGTGTAAGACTTTCAATGTGATTGAAATCTGGGTTTGGTTATTTTCCATTTTGCCCCTAGGGTTATGGGTGGTGTTCGACTAAATGGACTCTAGTCAATTTGACCTTTCTAGGCTCCGATAAAGGCGAAATGAGCCGAAACGTTTACAAATAAAGAATAAAGCAACGACGTCGTGTTTGCTCATCACGAAAACAGTGAATTCTTTAAAAGAGAAGTTAAACTTGCATCTCAGTCACCACTAAGGAGGTAAGGGGATAAGGGATAGAGACCTCGATGTTAATCAATTCTTGAGCGATGTCCCATGCATTTACTTCATAAAGCATCGGTAATTAAACGCATACTTGGCCTGTACAACGACGTGCGTTCCTACTAAGGAGTTTCTTGAGAAAATAAGGAAATTCAAGCCTGATCTTGTTCCAGTACACTTGACACGACTAGTAATAAATGCCAGCTGTAGAAAATCTTTGCAGGAGATCTTAAATAGGTACGAGTAGAAAAGCTACTGGAAGTAGCTCAAGAGTGAACCACTCTGAGGTAATGCTGCCAAGGCTTGTACGACTATAATGTTCCGATATCAATCTTGTAGAGCCTCGATGAGACCACCACATCTCGCCATGATATGAAATTAGTAATGAAAAACTTTCAAAGTAATCTTTTATCCGTTCTAGGATCTCCGTCTCGGGCAGCAAAATCCTCTGTGGAGAAAACCTGTCTGGTGTTTTTGTCTCAGAAATTCGAGTCGTGATAGAAAGCCTGACGAGAAGAACACGTTTAAAACTCAATAATATTACAGCCGACTTCCTTTGAGCTGGAAGTTATAAACAACACGTACTTCCGGCCAACCAAATGACATCTTATTTTCAACAGGAAAAAATGACAGAGCAGTGGAGGACGTCGCACACAACCATTCTGCTCAAGAAGAGTAACCGACGAGGGCTACGTGACCATCTTCCGATATGTTTGTTGAGTGTGACCTGTTTAGCTGTTTACTAAGATTATCCTATTGCGCATATCAACTTTTGATGATGCACAACTACTTGAGCAAGCAGGATTCTGATAGAAATTCTGCTGCATCGACCACATCCAAACCGTATCAAGGATCACAAAAGTTTGTCGGCGGTATCACCAACCCTTTGTCCTAACATTTATCGACTA